TATATATATATATATATATATTCTGTTTGGGCTTTCTAATTGGGTTAAGCCCAAACTACTAAAAACCCATCTAACTGTAATATAATGGTTTAATTAGGTTTAATTTTGCATAAAAAGTCTCACACCAAATGAGAAGAAACAGATATTAACCAATGTATGTGAGGTAGGTTAGACCAAGTCGGCATTATTGATTGCATCCTAAAACTGTTGGTTTCCGGTCCCCATGGTCCAACTGTCCGGTCTGGTCCAAGTCTGACAACACTGATTTGGGTTTGAGTAATATAGGACAAGTTTCAGCCATAGTCCTCTGCCATAAGTCAACATATTAATTTTCTTTTGACTATTATATTATTTATCTGAACAAAGTTAATTGTTCAATAGTAAAAGAAAGGCAGCAGCAAATGGGTAATATTGACTGGCTGCACCCTTGTACTCTCTCTACATATAGGTGCAGCGAATAATATCTAACAAAAATTTGTTATTGATTGTTAGTTCCATGAAACGTTTGTAATTCTTTTCCAACATGTATTTCTTCTTGTTTTTTCAAATGATTATTTATTCATCCATAATTAAAATTTTCAAAATTTGGACAGTTTTTTTGATAAATTTTAATTAATTTTGTTAAAATTATAATATTTTTATATTTAATTTATTGGATTTTATATTTTAAAATCATATGAACTTTTTTTGGACAAAAACAATATATTCACATTTTGTATCAGTAGCTAGCTGTACATTATCAGTAAATAATAAGGGCATTCTCCCTCCACAAGGTTTGAAATTTTGATACATATTGCACCGTATCGACTGATAAATATCGTATTTGGAGCCTCTTGATACACCCCTACAAAGGATGTTTCAGGGTTTCAACTGGTTCAGAAGGTGAATTAAACCTACTCCTCTGAACTAGATTTGAAAAAAAAAATTAAAGAAACTATCAATACTGTCCAATATGCCTTTACCGACATATCAAGTATATCGATATTTTAAACCTTACCCCTTCATATAAATTTTTTAAATGAATTACACAACTCTCATATATAATTTTGGTGGTCAATTAGCATCCCCCTAAGAAACCCGTGAAAATACAGGGTCTTGGTGTTTTGTAAGTCAATGGGTCCCATATGTATCCCCACTACCTTGGTTGGGTAATATAGTTTGCAACATCTTCCTCACGGTAATGTGGAGAGACTGAATACCTGTCTGCATCCCTGCTACCTCAACCCCACTACTAACCTAACCAGATTAATACTGGTCAAATGCATTTAGGCTATGTTTGATTTGAAGGAAAATACAGGAAACGGAAAAAAAAAATAAGAAAACTTTTACAAACCTTGTATAGGTTTTCTTGTTTCTCCCTTCCTTTCCCTACCTTTTCTTTCAAACCAAACACGTCCTTATTGATTGCCAAAGTTATATGTTTATTAAACAGCCATAAGTTCAAACTTCATAAAAATTATCAGTTATTTATGAGTTTTATTTTCAAATATTTACCGGTTAGAACACGAGTTTCC